TTGTGTCCGCAGGCGTGGGTGGCGGGGCCACCACCTCCGCCTCGAGCACCCCAGTCTGGTTTTGAACTGGGCCCCAAAAGTTACATGCCTGAGGTGATCCAGGAGGTGGCGTTGCCACCGCCCCCTGGGCAACACCGAGTCCGTAACACGATACAATACTGAATTGGACAATATCGTGTGCGACCTAATGCCCTGAAAAACTGTCTTCTCAAGCTCGCCGTGGCAACCGGCCTACGCTTTAAACCAGCGTGCCGGCCCATCCGCTATCGTTTGGCTGGTTTTGCTGGGGTCCCTGGAGCACCGAGCTACCCCACAAGCCAACTCTCTGTGGCAATCTAAATGGTCGCCGGCCGAGGGCCGAACGACCTGAAAATCTAAGATACATAGGTTGCCACAGGGCTCCTCAACCGACCCGCCGGTGTCACCCTCGGGAGGCGGACACCTACGCCTCGGACATTTTCCGCACAAGCTCCGCCGGCATCCCATGAGAACCGAAGTGCGGGACACTGCTTTCCGCCACTTGAAGTCCGAGCTATGTTTGCACCCCCCGTGAGGCGGACAATCCGTGTCCCCCATTGGAACGCACATTGGTGATTGAAGTCGGTTTGGTGCATTCTGTCGGCACCAATGTTGACACAACATGTGGCTCCTATCTACACACGTTGCTGTCACACATCATGCTTGGGTCCATCATTTGCAGCCCCCTCATGATGGGACGGCTGATCCACATAAGTTGACCCCCTCGGCCACGGTGCTACGAGGCAGAGGTGGCTGCCACAGGATAAGCGCTACACGCATCACCCACCATTGCCAGGTGCCAGCATCGAGCACCTATTTCCAGGGTGGGAGAGCCCAAGAGCCCCATCCGATTCACAAGGGTTATGCCTACCCTGAAGGGCAGCAGCAATACACTGCAATCCTCCTCCTCCTCCTCCACCTCTTCCTCCTCCTCCTCCTCCTCCTCCATCGGAGGTTGGGTGGTGAGATCGTAGTGGGACGGAGACTCCCAACTGGGAAATCGTTTCGTTTCGTTCGTGTCGTGCGTGCGGGCGAGGCGAAGCTACGTGGGCGCGCGAGAGGAATGAACCCGCCGTTGCTAGGGCGAAGTCGAGACAAGCGTTTCTCCTCCGTCCGTCCATCAGTCCGTCCGTCCGGCGGTGGCCCTAGCGGTGTCCATCGGTGTCCCGTGGTGTCCCGTGGTGTCCGCCGTTACTATGGCAAAATCAAGACAAATTGTTCTCCTCCGTCCGTCCGTCCGTCCGTCCGTCCGGCGGTGGCCCTAGGCCCCAGCGGTGTCCCGCGGTGTCCATCGGTGTCCCGTGGTGTCCCGTGGTGTCCGCCGTTGCTAGGGCGAAATCAGGACACATGATTCTCCCCCGCCCGCCCGTCCATCCGTCCGTCTGGCGGTGCCTCGCGGCGTCCCGCGGTGTCCCGTGGTGTCCCGTGGTGTCCGGTTGAGTGAGATCGATAGTGAGGTCGATAGTGAGATCGATAGCGAGATCGATGTGGTGCCCCGCGGTGTCCCGTGGTGTCCCGAAAAGTGAATTCGATAGTGAGATCGATCGTGAGATCGACAAATGTCCCGTGGTGTCCCTTTGAGTGAGATCGATAGGGAGATCGATAGTGAGATCGATATTGAGATCGATGTGGTGTGCCAAGGGGTCCAGTGGTGTCTCGCGGTGTCCCGTGGTGTCCTATGGTGTCCCGTTGAGTGAGATCGATAGTGAGATCGATAGTGAGACCGATAGTGAGATCGCCAGGTGTCCCGCGGTGTCCCGTGCTGTCCCGTTGAATGAGATCGATAATGAGATGGATAGTGAGATCGACATTGAGATCGATGTGGTGTCCCGAAGTGTTCCGTGGTGTCCCGTTGAGTGAGATTGCTAGTGACATCGATAGTGATGAGATCGTGAAAGCGATGTGGTGCCCCGAGGTGTCCCGCGGTGTCCCGTGGTGCACCAATTAGCCTGGCGAAGGACCCAACCATATGCAGCTGTGAGTACCGCAATAATGAACATATTCTTCGGTGCGGCGCCGCCATGCCAACGCAGCCAGTGGGAGCTTCGGTGGAGCTCCCTATGGAGCCACGAAACGTGTAAGGGGTCTGCCGAAATCGGTGCGGCGCCGCCATGCCAACGCAGCCACTGGAGCCTTCGGTGGAGCTCCCTATGGGGCCACGAAACGTGTGAGGGGTGTGCCGAAATGGGTGCGGCGCCGCCATGCCAACGCAGCCACTGGGGCCTTCGGTGGAGCTCCCTATGGGGCCACGAAACGTGTGAGGGGTGTGCCGAAAATGGGTGCGGCGCCGCCATGCCAACGCAGCCACTGGGCATTCGGTGGAGCTCCCTATGGGGCCACGAAGCGTGTGAGGGGTGTGCCGAAATGGGTGCGGGCCGCCATGCGAACGCAGCCACTGGGGCCTTCGGTGGAGCTCCCTATGGGGCCACGAAACGTGTGAGGGGTGTGCCGAAATGGGTGTGCGGGAATGCGAACGCAGCCATTGGGCCTTCGGTGGAGCTCCCTATGGGGCCACGCGTGTGAGGGGTGTGCCGAAATGGGTGCGGCGCCGCCATGCCAACGCAGCCACTGGGGCCTTCGGTGGAGCTCCCTATGGGGCCACGAAACGTGTGAGGGGTGTGCCGACATGTATGCGGCGCCACCATGCCAACGCAGCCACTGGGGCCTTCGGTGGAGCTCCCTATGGGGCCACGAAACAGCCACTGGGGCCTTCGGTGGGGCTCTCTATGGGGCCACGAAGCGTGTGAGGGGCGTGCCAAATTGGGTGCGGCGCCGCCATGCCAACGCAGCCACTGGGGCCTTCGGTGGAGCTCCCTATGGGGCCACGAAACGTGTGAGAGGTGTGCTGAAATGGGTGCGGCGCCGCCATGCCAACGCAGCCACTGGGGCCTTCGGTGGAGCTCCCTATGGGGCCACGAAGCGTGTGAGGGGTGTGCCGAAATGGGTGCGGTGACGAGGGAGGGGGCAGCGGCAGGAAGGAAGGAAGGAAGGAAGGAGTGAACGCGGGGCGCTGTCTCTTCAAAACGAGGACCCAGCACCACAGGATGGTTGGGAAAAAATGAGATCGATAATGAGATCGATAGTGAGATCGGCAAGTGTCCCGTGGTGTCCCGTGGTGTCTCGTGGTGACCCGTTGAGTGAGATCGGTCGAAAGATCGATAAAGAGATCGATACTGAGATCAATGTGATGCCCCGAGGTGTCCCGTGATGACCTGTGGTGTCCCACAAAATGAAAGCAATACTGAGATCGATAATGAGATCGACAAATGTCCCGTGTGGTCCCGCGGTGTCCCGTGGTGCCCCGTTGAGTGAGATCGATACTGAGATCGATAGTGATGAGGTCGATCGTGAGATCGATGTGGTGTCCCAAGGGGTCCAGTGGTGTCCCGAGGTGTTATATTGTGTCCTGTGGTGTCCCGTTGGGTGAGATCGCTAGTGAGATCGATAGTAAGACCGAAAGTGAGATCGAGAAGTATCCCGCGGTGTCCCCTGGTGTCCCGAAGTGTTCCGTGGTGTCCCGTTGAGTGAGATCGCTAGTGAGATCGATAGTGAGATCGAGTCGATCTCACTATCGATCTCACTATCGATCACCACAGGACACTTGTCGATCTGATCGACAAGTGTCCTGTGGTGTCCCACGGTGTCCCGCGGTGTCCTGTGGTGTCCCGTTGAGTGAGATCAAGTGAGTCAGATCTTGCTTCCCCCCCGCTCCCCCCACACAACCTCCTTTTCACCCGAAGGGCGGTCGTATAGGTATCAGTATCCTCCTCCTCCTTCTCCTCCTCCTCCACCTCCTCCTCCTCCACCTCCTCCATCTCCTACTCCTCCTTCCCCTCCTCCTCCTCCTCCTCCTCCTCCTCCTCCTTCTCCCCATCCACCTCCTCCTCCTGATCTTCCTCCTCCTCCTCCTCTCCCTCCTCCTCGTCCTCCTCATCCTCCTCCTCTTCCTCCTCCTCCTCCTCCTACTCCTACTCCTACTCCTACTCCCTCCCCTCCTCCTTCCTCTTTCTCTCCCAGTGTTCCCCCACAGGGTTTCACAATGGCTAGGGGAGCACATTCTCTTATAACGTGGCCAGGCTTCGGCTCAACGCTTGGCTGTGTGGGCGTTGCCAAAAGGCGGGGGGCAGCGGTGATTCGCCGTAGGCGTCTTCGATGTGCCGCCCAGTTTTGGTGTCAAAATGGTGCCTGGCACGCCGAACAGTTGACTGTCTACTTGTTCGAATCATTCTCAACAGGCCTCTAGCCCAGCCCGCCGACCATCTGGAAAAACCTCAACATCCACAACAAAGATCCCAAGACGGCCAAGATGACCCAACACAGCTCCAAGATGGGGCCCCACGACGGGAAATATGGTCCCAAGAGAGCCCCAGAGAGCCCAAAATCGCCCCCAGACGCCTCCAAGACGGCCCAAGGTGCGCCCAAGACGGCCCAAAATGGCCTCCAGACGGCCAAAAGGCCTCCAAGAGGACCTCCAGGAGGCCAATTCGTGATTTCATCATGGTTGTTCAGTGGGCTTCCGACGCTCCAAGACTGCCACATAGACCCCCAAGATCGCCACAAGACTGCCCCCAAGAGGCCCCGAAGAGGCCCGCAAGACGGCCAAGAGGGCCCCAAGCCCCAGAGGCCCCCTAAGGCGGCCCTATAACCTCCAAGAGGGCTCGAAAGCACCCAAACAAGGACCCACGACTGCCGAGAGAGGGCTCCAAGATGGCCTCCGAATGCTAAAAGATCATGTAGAGGCCCCCAGGGGCCCCCAAGAGACCCTCAAGAGGCCCCCAGAGGCCTCCAAGAGGGCCCCCAAGAGGCCCAAGGAGGGCCACAAAACGGCTCCCAGGAAGCCACCAGGAGGCCCCACGAGGGCCTCAAGAGGACTCCTATTATTCTTTTTCTTCCTCCTCCTTTTTCTCCTCCTCGTCCTCCTTCTCCTTCTCCTCCGTCTCCTCCTCCTCCTCCTCCTCCTCCTCCTCCTCCTCCTCCTCCTCCTCCTCCTCATGTCTCTTCCTTTCCCAGGTGTTCCCGCAAGGGGTTTCACAACAGCTCTGGGAACGCATAGTCCAATAGCTGTTTCAGTCTTCAGCCCAACGTTTGAACGCATGGACGCTTCCAATCGGTAGGGAGAGGCGGTGATTCGCTGCAGGCGCCTTCAATCTAAGCGACCCGCCGAAACCTGCCACTGGCGTATCCTCAGCCTCCAGCCTGAAACTGTCACCAGTATTTTTGCTGAGCCCGTAAGCAGCCTCAGGCCGGCCCGCTGGAAGCCTTCCGCGTGAACTAATCCGCCACCGTGCCGCTGGTTACGGAGTGGGCGTGTCCTCAAGTCCTCTGCCCAATCCCCTGAGCCTCAGTCTTCAGCCCTGAGGGTTTGAAAGGCCCGAACCCCACATTCCGAAATCTACCGGGGCTTGTCGCGTGCCCTCTGGGCGTCCCCGCGGCTTCCCACACGAATTGTTCGGGCCCAAGACGGACCCAAGACGAGCCACAAGGGCCCCAAGAGGCCCCGAAGACGGTCCAAGAGGGCCCCGATACGGCCAGAGATCGGCCCAAGACGCGCAAAATGGCCCCCAGACGGCGTTGGAGGCTTCCAAGACGCCCCACAGGGCCTCGAAGAGGCAATTGCTGATTTCCTCTAGATGTGTGAAGGTTTTTGGCTTTCTCACCTTTTTGGCTTCCCGACGCTCCCAGACGGCCCTAGATGTGCCCAAGATCGCCCCAAGAGGCCTCCAAGAGGGCCCTAAAACGGCCCGAGAGGACCCCAAGACGGCCCAAGAGACGCCCAAGATGGCCCAAGACGGCCCAAGAGGACCCAAAGACGGCTCCAAGAGGGGAACTAGATGCGGGACCCGAACGTATATTTCGAGCCCTCGTGCCCCGAGGGGCCCCCAGGAGGCCCCAAGAGGCCCCCAAGAGGCCCCAAGAGGCCCCAAGAGGCCCCCAAGAGACCCCAAGAGGCCACTAATAATCCTCCAGGAGGCGCCCAGGAGGTCCTGAAACTGGCCCCAAGAGGCCCCCGAGAGCGCTCCGCAGGGACCCCAATAAGTATCCTTGAGATATCTGACCCACAACCCTGGCATGGTGGCTGGATTGGCCGAAGGCCATGGGAAATACATATTAGGTAGCAAAGTCGAGGCTACAAAACGCACCAATTGACGGCAGTGAAATGCCGATGTCGTGTGGTCACCAGAAAACTGCGGACTACGCGAACAATAAGCGATCGGTCTTGCCACAAAGAGGACAACCGTGCGACCTGCGATGAGTATCGCTGCGGAGCCACATAATGAGGCCAGCACGCTCTCCACCGGTAAGGGGTAGGACCTCGTGCAGGAGATCGCCGGAGTGCGCAAGCGCAGTCCCGGTGCCTGCGCAATGGATGTAAGGAGAATCCAATTTCAGGAGCTGTGGATGCTCGCACCGCTCGCGGTGATACAGGGCTAACTTCCCTCCGGAATACTGCTCAGGGTCACATAGCGCGACGTTCAGAGTTATCTCGGAGTTGTCATCGTGCACGCCAAGACTTGTGTCTTGCCCCATCTTGTACCGAACGATGAAGGAGTGGTGCGAGTCGATCCCAGCTGCCATCAGATCTGGGAACAGAACCCGAAAGACCGGGGTAAGGAAGTGCGACAAGAGCTGATCCATGAACGGACCCAAGCCGATCTCATTCAAGATGCAACCCTGCCTGTTCATCGAATTGGGCTGCTGGTGTGGTAAACCTGTGGTCTTGAAATGCTTCAGCTCTTCCAGCAGATGCTTGCAAAACTCCCGCGAAAACAAGGGGAAGACGAAGGCGCCATCACGGACGTCCTGTATGGCTTCTGGAGGCGGGCCCCCATTCAGCACAGACTGCCACATGCTGAGGAACTCGGGCTGGAAAATGTGTGAGCTCGCCATCCCCATCAAGGCCTCGGGGGGAGGCTGGATGTCGGCCCACAGAGGTGGTCCGCCACCGTGCCCCCCTGGCACGCTGGGGCGCGCCACGATGCCAAGTGCTGTGCCTGACAGAACTTCTGCAGTTTCTGAGGCCCTCCCCCCTCCTCCACCAGCGCTGGCCTGCATGCATCGCCCCCTCTCCCAGGGCCAAAGACCCATTGCAAAACTCAACGGGCTCGCACCCCCAAGGCCACACACCGTCGCAAAATGAAACAACTTCGCGCTCCCGAGGCCACAACCCCTTACAAAATGCAATAGAAGCGTGCTGCCCAGGCCAAGATGCCTCCAAGAAGGCCCCAAGACGGCCCACTGTGGCCTCAAGACGGCCCAGAATGGCTACAAGAGGGCCCCAGAGGGCCCCACGTGGGACCCAAGACGGCCTTAGAAGGCCCTTCGACTGCCCAAGCCGGCGCCAAGACGACCCCACGACAACCCCCAGGCACCCATCATATGGCCAAGAGGTTCCCAAGACGGCCCAAACTAATCCCAAAACGGCCCAAGAGGGCTCCAAAACTGCCCAGGAGGGCCTCCAAGAGGCCCCCAAGACTGCCTCATAAAAGGCCAAGACAGCCACAAGGCGGCCCAAACGAATTCCATGAGGGCTCCTCAACTAGTGAAGACGGAAGGTGTCACATGCGACGGTGTTCCTCTTCCTCATGTTCCTGCTGCTCGTACTCCTCCTCCTCCTCCTTCTCCTCCTCCTCCTCCTCCTCTTCCTTCTCATCTTCCTCCTCCTCCTCCTCCACTTCCCAGGGCGTGTTCGGCAACTTTGAAGGTTACGGAGCGGCCGAAGAAAAGGAAGACAAAGAAACTGCAAGTGGGATGGAAGCCGCGCCGGGGGCCAGACGGCAACCCGAACGAGTTTCACGACTGCCTTGATAGCGCCCTTGCTGAGCACGACTTCAAGCTGGACCCAACCCCCAAGGTGGTGGAAGCGGCCGTGGAAACCGGGGAGCGCAACCAATTGGCAACGTCCAGACCAAAACATGGTCCGGAAATCGAGCGCTTATTTGCCGCGCGCCGGGATGAGACGGACCCAGACAGACGGCGTTCCCTATCGAAACAGCTCTGGAAGGCATTGCGACGACAACGACGTAAAAAACAAGATTTGGAATTGGAGCAACTTGTCGTCAGAGGGGCTGGTTCGGGAGCACTTCGACGGCTTAAGCAGAAGCACAAGGGTATCGAAAGAACTCTTGCGATCCAAGACCAGAGCGGCATCACGCAGACAGACTAGGCATCAATCAGCGAAGTATTTGCGCAGCTTTACGAAAACTGGTATCGAGATACCACTGTCGCCATCGAGCCCCTGCCAATGAAGGCGTGACGGAAGCAGAACTTCGACGAGCGCAGAGGAAACTGAAGGGCGGCAAAACTGGGGCAGACGATGGGTTGGTAGCAGAGATGCTGAAGACAGGGCATGAAAATTTGGTTTGTGTCATCGCCGAATTCTTCTCGCAAATATTCAATGGGGCCTTGGAACCGCCAGAAGAATGGAAACTTACCAAATTTCGCGTGCTGTTCAAGAAGGGGGACCCGTCCCTACCGAAAAACTACAGACCTATAGCAATACTGCCCGTGATGGCGAAGTTGTTCAGCACAAGCTTGCGGCGGCGATCGATTCGACGCTATCCAAAGAGCAGTTCGGATTCAGACCAAAGCGTGGTTGCGCAGACGCAGTACACATAGTGAGAACGGTGATCGAAAAATCATTTGAATGGGGAGAGGAACTCTGGGTCGCTACTCTCGATGTTGAGAAAGCTTTTGATCGCGTGCACCACTCAGCATTATTTTCTGCCTTGCTGCATTATGGCACTTCTATTTCAACAGTTTGTGTGTTGAGACGGCTGCATCACGGAGTCAGAGGATATGTTTATTTATGGGATGGGGCAGAGAGCAGACCATTTGATGTTCAGCGGGGTGTGAAGCAGGGAGGCCCGTTACCTCTGGCATTATTTAAAAAAGTGTTGGACAAGGTCCTTTCCGAAGTGAGCTGCACGTGGAATCGCAGGGGGTATGGCACGTTGGTGGGGCAAGGCGTCAACGGCAAATGCCTCACGCACGTTGCTTTTGCAGATGACCAGACACTCATAGCCAGAAGCTGGATCTCCATGACAAGAATGATTATTGTGCTCCGGGACACTCTGGCGAAGGTGGACTTGGACTTACATCCCACCAAGTGCAAGGTCCAGACGAACCGGACCGAGTTCACACGCAGGGGCGCCGTCGTGCTGACAGAGGGTTTTTCCATAGAAATATTGGAGCCAGGCGAACATCTCGAACTCTTGGGCACCATCGTTTCTCTCGAGGACCCGACGGGCCAGGAAGTGGAACATCGCTTCGCTTGCGGGTGGCGTAAATTCTGGGCCATGAAGAGGTTGCTTCTGAACCGGACATACTCTTTGAGGAAAAGAGTACGTTTGTTTAATTCTACTGTCACAGAATGCTTTCTGTGGGGATGCGAGTCGTGGACGCCCAGGGCAGAGGAGCTCAGGAAGCTGAACGTGGCTCAGAATTTGATGCTGCGGAAAATCGTTGGCTGTGGCCGCGCCGGCGGGGAGCCGTGGGTTGACTGGGTCCAAAGAGCCACCCGGCGAGTGCGCCGCTTCGCCGAAAGCACTCGTCTCAAAGAAAGGGCGCCCGAACACATCCGAAGGAAATGGCTCTGGGCAGGGCGCGTCGCCCGGGCGAGCGCCATCGACTGGTTGAATGGTGTCACAACGTGGAGAGATTCTTCTTGGCAGGCTGCCGCTGGCGAATGGGGCTCGCTTCGCCCGACGCGTCCGTCAAGTCGCAGGTGGATGCGTTTTGAAGACTCTGTGAGGAGATTTTGCCGAGACTGGGGGCTGAGAGAGTGGCAACTTCTTGCTGCGGACGCAGATCGTTGGTTAAGTCTAACAGCAGATTTTCTTTCATATTCGGTGAAGTCGCAATTCGACTCCTGAGGGTTTCACGCAGGGTCCTGCCCCTTGCGGGCCACCTTAACAGGACTTCACTTCACTTCACTTCCTCCTCCACTTCCTCGCCCTCTTCCTTCTCCTCCTCCTCCTCCTCCTCCTCCTCCTCCTTCTCCTCGTTCCTTTCCTCCTCTCTGTCGCCCCCCGAGGCCAGTCGAAAGGGCGGGCTGGGCGTTTCGCCTGAGACTTTCTCACAATTTATGACCTGAAGCTTACATTGGCTACAGTTTCACAGATGGAAGGCGGGTGTTTTTTTTAATGTGGTTTTCGCCTTCGCGACGCGCGCTTTCGTTAAACAATGCAAGAGCTTCACGGATTGAGGGCGGGTCGTTTTCAAAATGTGGCTATCGCCTTAGCGCCGCGCACGGCCGTCTTAAACATTGCAAGAGCTTGCTTCACGGATTGAGGGTGAGCCGGTTTCAAAATGTGGCTCTCGCCTTAGCGCCGCACGCACTCGTCTTGAAAAGTGAGAGCAATTCCACGGAATCCTATGGACAACGTACCAGAAATGGTGCGTTGGAAAGACTCGAAATTATGAGGGCGCAACAATTACGTTGATTCGTGGCGTTGGCGTCCCGAGAATGACGATTTGGCAAGCTTCGGGGTCTTCAAACGGTTGTCTGCCAACGAGGCAGTTCCCTGAGTAGAAATGAAGCCTTGTAGGGGCCTATGAAGAGAGGGGGCTTGGCGGGAGGATGTATTCCAGCATCGTTGATGAGTCTTGGGTGTTCACTGGTCCTCCTCATCCTCCTCCACATCCCCCTTCTTCACGTCATCCTCATCCTCATCATTTTCCTCCTTCTCCTCTTCCTCCTCCTCATCATCACCATCAGCATCATCATCGTCTTCATCATCATCATCATCATCATCATCATCATCATCATCATCAGCATCATCATCAGCATCATCATCAGCAACAACAGAAACAATATCACCATCACGGCTCCCTCAAGTCTGGGGACAAAAGGTGTCACACATGACGGCCTCCCGTGACCCCTCGAACAGTCGCCCGCCAGAATGCTGGGCTGGCACGGTGGCGGGACTTGCCGCAGGCATCTGGATAAGAAGAGGTGGGGGCGCAACGGTCGATAGCGTTTGCGCACGATGGCCAGATTCCTGCAGAAGAGCTTGGGAATTGCGCTCCTCCGTCCAAGCTCGGTGCGCACCGAGGCGACAATGGCCGCCTTCGTCTCATCGTCGAACTGCGAGCGAGTGTCGTTTGAAGCCCAAAACTCGGCATCCGAAGCTCCAGGCGCGGGCATCCGGAAGTAAGCGTCTACTGACCGGACATATAAGTTCTCCAGGAATTGGCAACTGCACTCGATTGGTAGCCAGCGGTATGGCGGACCCATGACGAAACTCTCGGCATCGCTCTCCTTCATTTCCATGCACCCTGTTACCAACGTGCTGCCAGAGGCCAGAAGGAACGGAGTGTCCAGGACGCCAAAACCAGCGCATACGCCACCCTCTTCAGAAGAGGCGTGCTTGCTGCGCAGCATGGCACCAGATACGTTGTTCATCAACACCTGCTGACTATCGCAAAGGCGTTCCGAATCCTTCTCGAGCTGGTTACCACGCGCGAGGTACGATGCGAAAATCCCGAGCTCGGCTACGGTATCAGTCTTATGGGCCACACCATTTTGCAAGAGCCAGGCTGGCGCTGGTGCAGTGCAGATCTTCTCCATCAGCACGTACTGCTCGAGGCCCTCACTGGCCCGGAGGGCTGCAGCGAGCTCGCTGCCGTAGAGGTTGTTGCCGCCGCCTTCGCGCTGCGGCTTCAGCACCCAGCCGTGAGGCTTTGCCAGTGCATCCGCCACGGCTTGCGCGCTCCCGGCGCAGGAGGGGTCAACCTGGCGGGCAAAGACCGCCAAGCACTGCGCCACCTCGTCCTGCGGGAGGAAGCGGGACAGCACGGCCCGGTCTGCAAGCACCTGCTGCACCCGCTTCGAGCCGGCCAGGTGCGCCAGAAGCGACGGGGCCTTCACCGCCCTTGACAGCTCAATGAGCCTGCGGTTCTCCCAGTCCACCTCGGTGGCGAAATGCTCGGGGCGGTAGGTACAGTGAAAGTAGACCACAGAGATCTCCGTGCCGTCTATAACCAGCGCGCCATCAACGCCGCCCCTAAGCTCCACGTGCGCACCGAGGAAGGCGCGGGTGCAAGGGACGCCCAATCCCTCAAGCGCCCTCTCGATGTGTCGTTGGTCCAGCTCCAGGTGGTCATCCTGGAAGCAATAGAAGCAGACAGAGGCTTTGCCGTCGGCGGCTGGCGCAATGGCGACATATTCCGCATGTGCCGCCGCGAGCGCGCGCGCAAACCCCGCCCCGGGCGTGTTCTCCGCTAGGAGCGCGCCGTGTTCTGCTGCAACGACTTCTGGACATCGGGAATGACGGAGTGCCCCGGCGTGGATCCTGGCCACGACATCTGTGAAACCTGCAAAAGCCACAGCGATAGTGTTGATCTCCACTTGAAGATATCGCCCATCGCTGTGAGGAAGATCCGCCGTCGAGCCATCGAGTCAAGATATGGGGTGCCCTCAGACCGACGCTGCCGCATTCATCCCTCTGACAATGGTTCCTTGCCCTTTGAGGGTTCATCCGGGCTGCAGACCACAAAATCCAATAGTCGCACGGATCAGTCGGGATCTTCCGAGATTGGCCTCCGCGACCCTGGAAACAACTGGAAACGCATGTCTGTCGAATGGCCAATGCGGCTCCAAGACAGGCCACGATCCCAGTACTGCCAACGGTACCCCAACCTGCTCCGATGGCATTCGGGATGACTCCAAGAAGCCCCAAGATGGCTCCAGGATGGCTGGACGGAGGTCTGAGACCCCTCAAGTAGGACCCTGGCACGCCAAGGTTCATCACACAACGATTGGCGATGGCGTGACAGTTTCCGTCTGAGCACTAACTTCAGACTCGCCCCTGAGGCCTCAAGATAACCCCAGGATTGCACTGGTGCCCACCAGGACCCCTGCAGATCCCCAAGAAGAGTGTCCCCCATGAGGCGCACGCGAACGGACCTAAGAAGTACAAATTGTGAATCCGCCCTCCATCCCCCACGCCAGAAGCAGGTCACCAAGAGTTACCCAAGAGGCCTCCAAGAAGCCCCCGAGTGGGAAGCGGGCAGGGGGTTCTGCGCTGCTTAGGCCCCGAGAAACTCGATCAAGAGAGGGAGAGATTTGGGCGGATCCTCGCCAGATCTGTACACGGACCCATCCACGGGTCAAACTGGATCAGTTTCTCGATCCGCACCCAGCCGCGGGGACGGGGGCTCTTTTCTCCCCCTCTGCTGGCAACAACCAGCCCTGGGCCACCTCAGCCCCCCAGCCGGCTCCAACCGCCAAGAGGCCCCAGAGAGACACCAAAGCGGTGCAGGACGAGCCCTCGACGCGGCAACGCAACAACCATGCAACGCTGCGGCCAAGCCGCGCTGCAAGATCGCAACACCCTTTCCCAGGTCGCAGCCTAGCGTGCCCAGTGGTCTGCCCCGCTGCGGTATGCAACGCGACGAACGTGGGGCAGCCCAGGCAGCCAGGGAGCACCAAGCCATCCTTCTCAAACCTCTCCTCCTCCGCCACCTCCTCCACCTCCTCGTCCTAGTCCTCCTCCTGCTCCTCCCCCTCCTCCTCCTCCTCATCATCATCATCATCATCAGCATCATCATCATCATCATAAACAGCATCAGCATCAGCATCAGCATCAACATCAGCATCATCATCATCATCAGCATCAGCATCGTCAACATCATCATATGATTCATCCTCCTCATCATCATCATCATCACACTCCTTATCCTCTGACTTTATCGCCACCTCACCCGTCACCCTCCCTCAATTTCGTGCCAACGATGATCCTCATTATCGTGCTTCCCGTCGCCCACATCCTCGTCCCCCTCGTCTTCCTTATCGTCTCCGTCCTCCTGCTCCGCATCCTCATCCTCCTTCTCCGCCTCCTCCTCCTCCTCCTCCTCCCTCCTCCTCCCTCCTCCTCAGCTGCCGCCCCTGCTCGAGAGGTTTTGGGAGCTGTAACAGGCACAGCGAACCTCTCACGAGGGGCGGGCGGCTACGCGCGCTGGCCCGCGCCAGCCGCTGCGCGGATTGGCGGCTTGGGCCTTGGCCGCGACTGCGACGGGTGGCACGCCGCGGGGTTCCCGCTCGCCGCGGGCTCGCGCGCGGCCCAGCGGCCGTGGAGGCGAGCCAGCGAGGCACCGTCGTGATCGACAGGCCCGCGCCAGTGCATGCGTGCTGCTACGAGTTGTCGGCGCGGCGCAGCGGCTACGTGATCATCACAGTTCGATGTCGTGGCAACATGGGGGAGGAGGCAAAGGTGGCGGCACGGGCAAGGGCAAGGGCAAGCAGGTCGTGCCCGTCCCGCCGCCGCCACCAGCATGGTGGTGCGAGCAGTGCGGCGAGCCCAACATGATGCAGGATAGACTGTGCAGCGCGTGCTTCCCAATGCCTGCCCAGGCGCCGCGGGCCAATGTTGAGCCGCCACCGCAGATGGCAGGCAGGCGACAGCAGACGCCCACCCCGCAGTCCGATCGGCGTGCCCGATCGTCGCGGAGGACGGCTGGTCGCAGTCAGCAGGGAGAACGTGCCGATCGACGGCGACGGCGTGGTCGTAGTCAGCAGGGAGAACGTGCCGACGTTGGTGCCGACGCTGCCGAGGCCACGCTCCCGCAGCGGCTGGCGCCGACGGCTGAGCCCGAGGCTGAGGCTGCGCCCGAGCCTGAGGCTCGCAGAGGCCGATCGAGGCCTGGGCCCAGGCGGACCCGAGCCTCGTGTCGGTCGAGGTCGGCAGATGTCACGTTCGAGGAGAGCGAGGTTGAAGAGGGCACAGACACGGAGGACTCGGCGGCGATGCAGCCGCTAGAGGTGTTGCCTGCGCTCCCTGAGGAGGCCACGGCGCACCCTTCATGGCTGGAGCCGCCTCGCACTGAAGAAGCAGTGCAGGTGCACAGGAGGTATCTTCGTCGCCTGGCCATCGCCTCCGCCAAGAAGCTGCGTGCAAGTAGGCAGCTTGGGCACCATGACAATGTGGTCAACAATTCGGCGCAGGAATATGCAGTCCTCATGACAATGATCATAGTATGCAGATCGCCGACGGCCAGGCTCCAGCACCAGCGTGCCTTTGTGGAGCGGGCCGAGAAGAAGATGAGACGGGCACAGGACGACGTCGATGAGGCACAGGCTACCCTCGTGCACAAGTCAGGCGGCCTGTCCCAGCGTCCAATGAGTTGGCGATGGCGCAGCTATTGTTACGCCAACTGGAGACGCCCTACCCAGAGCCGAACAGCAATGCCACGATGTCGCCGACGGCAGCCGCAAATGGGGACACCGGCACAGCCACACCGCCAGCAGGCGCGTCGCCGCGGGGGAGCCGCCCAGCGGATGCGCTGACGTCGAGCTCCGTCGCCGTCATCACGGAGCTCCAGCAGGGCCAGGTGAACATGACGCAGCAGTTGGCGGGGCTGTCGTCGGTGCTGGGCGGGCTGCAGGCGACGATGGGGCAGCTTGCAGCGGGCGCGGCCCAGGGACAGCAGCCTGCAGCGGTGGCGCCAGCAGTGCCAGCGCGGGAGGCGGAGGTGGTTGCATCGCCAGGCCCTGCCGCGCACGGGGTGGTGTCGGGCGCGCCCATCCTGGCAGAGGCCCAGGCGCGTGCCGCGGCAGAGCTACAGGCAGATGTCGATGGCGGGCATGGTGTGCCTGTGCCAGAGGATGCTGATGACGATGTGGCTTCCGACGACTGGGAGGCCAAGAAGGCTGCCCGATCGGCTCACGCCAAGGCAGCTGCCGAGCGCCGTGCTGAGGCCGCCGAGGAGGGGCGCCGCGCCATGAGGGCAAGGGGCATTGCAGGCCCAGGCAGCCAACCATCGTGGCAGCCATGGCGGCCAGCGGGGCGGCATCGTCGCCGATGTCAAGCAGGGTGGAGCCGCGTGTGGTTCCTGGAGAAGAGCGCCCGATGCCAAGGGGACGCGACGAGGCAGCCCGCAGTTCAGATGTTGAGAGGGATCGAAGCCCCAGACGATCCCATGACGGCCATGGGGAGGACTTGGTTTCACAGGGGTGAGTTTGCCTGCGGAGGTGGACGCCGCCAGTGGGGATCGGCTCTTGCCCAGCGCGCGTCACCTCCGCAAGGGCTGCAGGCTTAATTGCACAGTTCTGTCTTGCCGAGAAGTCCACTTCCGGATTGCCGCAGGCTCGTGGATGAGCTGTCCAGGCCTGCCGCGGCATGTTCTCTTGCGTAATTGTCCCAAGAGTACAAAGAAGAGTGCGAATTGCCTTGTCTTTTCTTGCATCGTCTCCATTCTGGCATGGGCTTCTGCATAATGTTGTTGCGGACTTATCATGCATCGATCGACGATTCACAGTTGCACAGACTGGTTGTATACACGGATGTCAGTGCAGCGACGGAGATACCATGGATGTGGATGTCCTCCCGCGTCGACGATGGTGCGCGGGAGTTTCCGCGGGCGTCCCCCGCGAGCCTGGAGAGCATTGCTGGCCCCGAGGTGTCCCCTCTTGAGGCCGTTGTGACTCCCATGGCCCCTCCCGTCCTCATCTTCCCTTCTCATCCTGCTCCCTTCCTTGCATGCGTGCTGCGAGCGGCAGTAAGGGGTAGCAGGGTTGGGTTGCAGGGTTTGCAGTGTTAAGGAAAGGGGAGGGTGGTTGCTTTGTCTCATGATGATGTCACATGCTTGACCCCACGTGCTGGCTGAGGGCCGAGAGTACGAATAGCGTGCCCCGCACGCCGAGCTGGCGAAGTGGTGTCCGCAGAGGACAAGCGGAGAGGCGAATGTCAAGCTGCCCCATCAGTGCAATATTCCCCGAGGGAATAGACCCGTAGAGCCCATACGGGTGCCCACGATGGCTTAAATGCGACGGAGCGTGTATCCCCTCGGGACCATGGAGTATCACCTTCATGTATTCCCCTCTGCCTCCTCCTCCGCACCCTGCCACGCGCGCGGCGAGCGGCAGAGAAGGGGTAGCAGGGTCGGGTATGTTGCAGGGTTGGGGTAGCAGGAAAGGGTTGCTGCCTCCTGCTGTCACTGCATTGCCTGCCCACTGTTTGCGGACACCGTGGCATGTGTCTGTCAGGACCGTCGCTTTGCATTTTGTGGTGCGTGTCACGTGCTGGTGCTCAGGCGCGGGCGGCTTGGCCGAGAGTGCGAATAGCGCGCCCCGCCATGCTTCCTGGCGCGATAATACCTGCAACATACTCGCTGAGAGACGATGTCCTTCTCACCTGCTCTCTCTCCTGCTTATATTTGTTCCCCTCTCTCGTTCCCCGCGCTCGTGCACCGTCAATGGCGTAGCCCGTTCGGCAAGCGATACTGTCGGGGATGGGCCAGTTGGTGGGTGGGATTGGAGCATTCTTGACATGTACTCCGCCCGTTTGGGGTCGGAGCCTGGTCGTGTTTTGAGACGCGCGGTGCCAAGCTGTCATACCTAGTGGGTGTGGTCGTTGGGGGGGGGGGGATGAGCATGGGGTGGCTGGGCCGTGAACATG